TATCTCCTTTTACAGTTCGCCAAATTGTTTGTGGTGACACTCCCAATACAGCCGACGCATTCCGAACGCTGGTCTCAGGATGATTGTCAAAATGTTGTAAAATACGATTCCCTGCCTGCAAATCTCTTCGTAACGCTGCTTGAAATCGGTTGTTTTCTTGTCGAATTGAAAATGATCCAGTCTCTCGCAATCTATTAAATGTCAACATAAACACTCTTCGGTTTGGCACTCTTCTGTTTGGAAATCGTCGTGCATATTCTCGCACCGCCTTTAAAGCATTACCGTTGCAGAAACCGTATACAAAAACCATATCAGCATATTCACTATTAGAATACGTACGCGGCATATTGCAAAAGACAAAATTCATCTACTGTTAAAGGCTTTCAAAGAGCGACTGACAAATTCATAACAGAAAGTGGAAAATGTAATCAAATATGTCGGTGCTAGATATGGCAAGAAATGTAAACATTTTTTTTCGATTTCTCTGAAACGGAGCAAAAACGAGCATATGTCTATAGGACTTTTTTTCTTAGTTTTTTACTCCTCTACACGCTCCCGAAGTTTTGCCATTTAATTTGGAAACACCCTGTATATAAAAGATCGTATACAAAATGGATACATATCACAGTACAAAATTCATGTAAAATTGAAGAAAATCCGAATTCTGGTTCTGCAATAAAAATCTTTACATTTTTATTTAATAATTCTTTTAATAATACAATGTTTATTAATGAGTCCTTAAACAAAAATTTTAATTTCATATCTTCTACTATGGAAATAAAAGTTGTTGAATTTTAATAAACGAAATTGAATATTCAAACAAGTTAATTTAGTGAATTTTGTCTTATAATACGCGTCTGCATAAAAATGAAATTACGAAGTTATGTTTCTTTAGACAGATTTTCAGCACGTTTTTTATACTAAATATAATTATTAATATGTATCAAAGTCTCTATAATTAATATAGTAATGATAGAGACTTTGAAAAGTTTTTGAATTTATTCAAAGTCTCTATCATTACTATATTAATTATAGAGACTTTGAATAAATTCAAACTTTTCGAATCATATATTGTCAATTTAAGATTTAATTTAACAAAAACGAGTTAGAGGCCCTCCACCTTTTTTCCCCCGCCGATTTTATCGGCGGTCCTCTTTTCTTTGTAGGTATACTTACCTGTAAAAAAAACGAGCTACTAATAAATTTAGTAGCCCGTTTTTGCAGGTAAGTACATTTTTAATATTTTTTTTATGTCTAATTAATTTATTTTGTAATTCGCTAATGACATTACATTAATTTTTTTAATATTACTTTTATTGAAATCCTTTATACAATTCAATTATTACAATAATAACAATTGTTTACAATATACAATCATAAATGCTGTTCAAAATATAATAAAAATGATATTATAGGAATAGAACTAACAATTTTTAATAATGCGGGATTATACGAAAACGTCGAAAATACATACGATAACAAAAATTTTTCTAAACCAAAGCTTAATGAAATATTGATAAACGCAAAAGAATTACTAAGAAGTAGATCGCATTTACTATTAATTATTAATTATTAATTTGCGAATAAAACTTAATAATATCGTGATAAAAAGTCATTAATATATTTATAACAGTACTTTCATCGCGTTCAAGCTATCTCTCTCTCTCTCTCTCTTTCTCTTAATAATTTCATCATATCAAAGTCTTTTCGCCTTGTTATAAATTGTATTTTAATATCAAATAAATTGCAAAATAATATAAATAATAAAAATGTGGAACAATGGCTGCGTTCAACAAAGAAAGCCGCTAGCTTTGCAACTGTTGTAAAATTTTTCAATACGATTGGTTCTTGATTTTGATTCTTTATGGATTTAAATGTGTATAAAACCAATTATATTGAAAAATTTTACAACAGTTGCTGGCGGGGGTGGTGGAGGCCCTCTACAAGCAATTTTGTGTTTTGCCACATTATTTGAAAAATCTATAAGTAATTTTATTGTAATATATTTTAGTGCATAGTGTTGTAGTAAAAGTAAAAAGAAAGAAAAAAGAAAAAATTCAGAAAGTATATATATAGTTCACATTGGGCGAGTTCAAGTCGGCAAAGCAGATAAGTTTGCTTGCGAAGCAATTAAACATGATTGGTTGATCCATAGGTAAGAACCAATCATGCTCATTCGCTCGACAAGCATATTGAGCCGCTTTGTCGCGTTTTAAACTCGCCCATTTATTTCATATGATTGATACGTTCCGAAACTCTCATCGAAATTAAATTAAATTAATCCTTTTAATATTATTAAGTTATTATGAAAACAAAGAATATGCAATTAAAAGAATTAAATTATTTATTTACACTGAAAATATGTAAATTGTTTTGTAAATTTGTACTCAATTGCACTCAGTGTGCATCAGTGTTGCACTAGTTTCTCAGTGGAAAACATTAATAAATTTTGCGCTGCGAGTAAATTTGGAATACAGTTTAATTGTAGAAAACGTGAAACAATTTAATTATTAAATCGTGCTAGAAAAGACTGGTAAACAAACGAAGTCCATGTCATTTGGTGACATGTGACAGTGCAATTATCACGATATATCGCACACAACCCAACATAACCAGCCAGTTTTTCGCGCCAATTTTGCATTCTCTTAATTTTTTCTTTAACATTTGCAATAGCATAAGTGTCAATGATAAACAGATGACTTGATTAAAAATGAAGTTCAAAGGCAGAATGACAGACGCAGGTGCCATGCGGGACTTTACATGTAAAGTTTAAATTTTGTGTTTCTAACCTCGTCATAGAGATCAAGGATGATAAAATTCAGGGTTGTGCCGTTATTTCAAGATTACATTTACATGGAATATTTATTTATTGTTTTCGTTACGTGAATCTTTTTCATATATTAGACAATATAAACAATGTAAAATATGTAATCTCGGCTGAGAGGTAACATTTTTCGTAATAAGAATTCTTCAAATCCATAAACTTAATGTGAGATGATTATTATTTCAGTTTCATTGTGTTGTAAGTCCAAAAGTAATCATTAATTGTACTTAAAATAAATTACATATCGAATTATTATTCCAACATTTCATTTTGACTGTAGTAACGCTTCTTCAAGACTAACTTATTATAAATATGTGAATTATAAATTGAATAATGCAATACAGAAAGAAATAATTAACTTTTATGAATATTAATATATCTGATATTAATATTGATAAATAAAAATATATAAGTAAAATAGAAACTTCAGCGCAGTCCATTACAATGACAAAAAACATAGACTTCAGGAACATGATCCATAGATTATTTACATAGGTAAAACATAGTTTACATTGTATACACATAGATGTAGATTATTATATTTTACAAAGTGCACAACCCTGCTAAAGGCTGATCTACAATGTGCTCTTTGCCTTTTATTTCTTACCATTTTCCTTTTGTCTTTTTCCTCCTCTTTGTAACTGTTTCATCAACAATCACGTTTCTTGTCTCTTCCAAAGTTCTTTTAAGCCTAATCTACAATCTATAATGTGTTCTTTGCTTCCTATTTTTTGTTTTTTACCTCATCTTTTTCCTTTTTTATGATTTTATAAACCATTTTGTAAACAATCCCATTTCTTTTTATATGTTTCTTGACTCTTTCGAAGTTCTTAAACTTTCATCTGGTCACAGAAAGCGAAAAAACTGAGTATTTTTTTCTCTTCGAAAAAAAAATAAAAAGTGATAAAAAGCAAGAAACGGGAAGCAAAGAGCACATTGTAGACCAGGTTTTAATCTTGACGCGTTATCTTAAAATCTTATTGATTAATAAACATTTTTTGTATTCTTCAGATATTGTTAGTACTATATCCCGAATGGCAAAGTATTGCGTGTTGCAGTTGGCACCGACCGAATTGTGTTTCAATGTCGGTGATGAGCATATTCCCGTGCTTTGGGCGGTGATCTCGCCGCAATACTTTTTTGCAGAGTATATTATGAGCGGTGTGACCGAGCAGGAGAATAAGATTTACTTGGAGTTTGATGCCTCTATGTTTGCCAGAAGCTTGAATAGCCTTAGGGCAATGGCGAAGAATGTGAAAATTAAATTGACAAATAAACGACAACCCTGTCTGACGTTTGAAATTGATCTGACTTCCCTGTCTTTGGACTCACGACAGTGTGTACATGACGTTCCCGTGAAACTCATACCTCGTAGAGATTGGCCGGAACACAAAATGCCAGATATTCCCGAATTTGATGTAGGTAGAAGACTTATTCTTTTTAGCTGAACTTCTTGCACGGTTCGTCTTTTTCTCTTTTCACGGAAAAGGAAAAAGATAAATTCTGCAAAAAGTTCAACTAAAAAGAACGTATCTAATAATGCAATATTTATCGTGCGTGATCGAATCGGCAGAAATACAGCATCATTTCAGATATCGCTGGAAATGCCACAGTTGAAGTATCTACGGCACATCACGGATAAAATGAAAAATATGAGTTCTAATCTAATAATGATCGCCAATAAACATGGTACACTGATAATAAAAATTGATGTGAACTATGCTACGGTGTCCACTCACTTTAAAGGACTACAAGTTTATGAAAACGAAGAGGAACAAGAGACTGACGATATTTTTGCGACCATTAACATAAAGAAACTCTCTATGTTTTTAGGTTGGGACGCTCTCCACCCGAATAGTGTTAAGTGTAACTTATTGAAGGAGAAGATGGTGAAACTAACTTTAGATGTGGGAGATCACATTAAGATACATTATTTTATACCAGCCATTGCATCTTGAGCAAAGAAAAAAAAATTTAGATACAGTATTACTTAAATGCAAAATATATATGTATATATTTCTCATGATTCTCATTCATACACATCATATTTCATTCACGCGTTTTTTTTTCAAATTTTTCATTAAATAAGCTACTCACAAAAAATAATTCTTACAAGTTATATATATATATATATATATAAATGAGTCGACGGCTAATTATAAGCTAAATGTAAATTTTGTTCGCTCTCTTGCCTGAAACTCTGATGCATCTGATCAATTTGTTGTATTTTCTGATTCAACAAAGCCGTCTGTTGATCCAGCCACTGTAAACTATTCATATGCGCGTTTAAAATTTTTCCAATTTGAACGATAGGATCACTGGAGTCCTGAGCGCGATTTGCTTCATTTAAATGTTCTATTATTTCCTTTAGATCTTCTGACATACGTTTCAACTGGGTATCGAGATTCTCCGACAAACGATACGTATATTCTCGATCGGAATCCGAGACAGAAAGAGACGCTAGCTCCTTTTCCAATGGTACTAAACATTCTTGCAGCTCTTTCTGTTGTCCAACCTGAATGATACAATTATTTTAATTTAACTCGATGAAAATTTAATAATTAATTTTATTTATATTAACATTGTAAGATGCTACAAAATTGCAAGGATATTGAATGTGACTTACGACATAGTCCAGCTCATGCTCCAATTGTTGTTGCTCGATTTTCACTCTTTCAACTTCTTGATTCAGGGTTACTATTTTCTCCCCGTTCGTTATCAATAATTTATCCCAGGCATTAACTTGTGTAGCTTGATTCACAAATACTTTCTCTTGCTCCTCCAACTCTAAGGTCCACTTGTTGATAGATTCTTCAAGCTGACAGAAATTAATGGCACCTGGTTGAATACCAGTTGCAGAACTAACGCTGCAATAAAAGATTTTTGCAGAACAAAATTTAGCTGTTATAATAAATAATTGAATTTATCATTAGTAATGAGTAAGAATAAATCAATTATTCTGAAGATGAATTTTGTAATAAGCAAAACTACTTACGTAGTGGCAGTACCCAAGGAAGTATGAGTAGCAGGTGCTGCTAAACTTGTTGAAACAGCGGCAGAAGTCGTTTTACTCAGAGGAAATCCAGTGGAAGTAGTCGTCGATGTTCCGAAATTAAATCCTGCTGCAGTAGTTGCTGTGAGAGAAAATCCTGTATTTGAAGTTGTGGTGATGCCTGTTTTCGAGGCATCGAATGAAAGCCCTGGTGCTACAGACGTCGGTGCTGTACTGCTAGGAAGATTGAAGCTTGGTACACTTGTTGCCAATGTTGTAGTTGCAATTGTACTTCCAAGACCAAAGCCAGCTCCAGTAGTCATAGTGCTTGGAGTACCGAAAGTTAAGCCAGTGGATCCTTAGAGACGACACACATGTAATATCTTTCTAATAGAATATATATGAAAAAAATGCCTTATTCGATCAAAATGGTTCTTTAGCTTAACTAAATAAAAGTATTTTTCACTCATGTGTGTTTAATTTCATTAGTCAATTTTCACTTAATATTGTTTTTTTAATAGGCTTGTTCTTTCTAAAAAAAATTAATCTCTGAAGTGTACAATAAGTTGAAGCGAAACAAATTTATGAGAAGTATAACTTATATGAAATAAAAGTAACATAAGAAATATAATTTGTTTTACTCCAATTAATATATCCAGAACTTTCTTCAAAAAAAGAACACTAAATTCTTTCCAAGGATAGCAAGCTTCATCATTTTTATCAAAATGATAAAAATTGATGCATTTATAGCAAAGAAGCAACTTTGCAACTATTGTAGGAATCTTAAATATGATTAGTTTATACATTTAGATTCAACGAGCAACTAAGGATAAGATCAATCATATTAAAGAATTTTACAACAGTTGTAAAGCTGCTTTTTCTACTGAACGCAGCCAATACGTCAGTCTTGGCTACCTGAGTTTGTTCCGTCGGAAAATGAAGTATACCTGTCATAGGTTTTGATGTTCCACCAAAATTGAAGCTTCCCGTTGTGGTTGTCGCGATGGGAAATCCCGTGGCCGGGACTGCGGACACTTTCACGGCGTCGAACGAAAGCCCCGTCGCCGCGGGCATAGGCGTCCCACTGCTCGCAAGATTCGTGAAACTGGGTAGACTCGATGCAGTAGATATGGATGTTGTTGTCGCGGTTATACCACCGCCGAGGCCAAAGCCGGTTCCAGTGGCCATAGTGGTCGGAGTGCCGAAAGTCAAACCGGTGAGTCCTTGTAACAGGAAAATAGCCAACGTGCATCAAAATATCGGACGTGATTTCTCCGGAGCTAGAGAAAGTACGAAGATGTTTTATTCCTGCTTTGGCTCAGAATGCTCATTGTACCTGTCGTGGGTTTTGGCGTACCGAAGGACAATCCGGTATTCGGAGGTGTAGCCATCGTGTACTCCGGATCTGTTGGTGTTTCGACCGTACCCCGAGAAACCAAACTTGATGGTTAAATAGGTTAAATTGCATGAATATAGACGTACGTCATCGGTCGCGTAGTTCCTAAAGTGCTCACTTCGTGGACTTCGCGCTCGTCGAATTGCCAGGGGGGCGTTCCAAAACTCGACTCTATCAACTCCGAGTATCTGTTATCCTTGTTCAACATTCGGTGAAGAACAAGGATAAAAGATACTCGAAGTTGATAGAGTCCAGTTTTGGAACGCATCCCAGAAAGATCAAGCGAGACAAACCGTCTTTTGATTCACCAATCAATCCGACAACGGCAAAGTGGTGACCAATCCACCAATCGCGTCGCAGAAAAGCTTCTCCCTGTCTTCGTTTGTAGGTTCTTTATTCGTCTCGAAGAAAGTTTTGAACTGATACACGAGTATAGCTGAACTTCTTGCATCGTTTATCTTTCTCCTTTTTTTCTCCACGTTGAAGAAAAAAGGAGGAAAAATGAACAGTGCAAGAAGTTCAGCTAAAAAGAACAGACCTTTATATATATGACACTGGCGGCACAATAAATTGGAGTAAAACAAACCATTATTTGCCGAAAAAGAATAGGCTTTAAGTTTATTTCTGCAGAGAGAAATCTCTCTGATTTCTGCATTAGAATTTTCTTTCTCGCTTTCGTCAAATATCAAACGTGTATTATATCTATTTCACTAATATGTCTTCGCCCTTCTGGCGGCTCCGACTGCCACGCTGAAAATAATCGAAAATTTAGAATACATTTGTAATGCACTGTGGCATCTACTGCGTCTACATTGGTACATGCGCAGTATATTTGCGATTATAATTATCACGTGGTGGCGATAATGAAAAATATACCATTGGACCCCGTGGTCGGCGTGCACCTCTCCCGTCTACCGGCGACGAACGCCGGGTGCCGGGTGCAGTGTGAGGGCGATTCTGACGACGACAAATCGAAATCCCACCAAATCCCACGCGGGGTCCCAAATCTCTATCGTCGCACGCGGACGCCTCGCGGACGTTCTACGTTCGGGTACGAGTTATTCATACGCCGTTCGGTGCCGTCAGCTGTGGTCTGTGCTCCGCCCATACCTATTTACTTGGTGTCAGAAACGGACCGCATTTGGAAAACATCCTTAGAATTTTAGATTTCGGTTTGATCTGACGTGAGACGTCACGCGAGAGTGTTTAAAAAAACAATCTCAGGAACCGAAGATGTTTATTGCTTCGAAGTTTGCGCGGACACTTCCGGTTTAAAGTCTAAAATCGGATGACTTGATGCACTACGATCAGGAAATCATATGCGGATGATTGTATTATTAATATGAAGATATTTGTACCGTCTGTATATACAGACTATAGTTTGGACATTGAAGAGTGACAAAAGGTACGTATCTGTGTTATGTTTTTAATTCTAATGCCCATTTCCATTAATGTAGATTAACTTTTAATCTCGGTTTAATTTAATTTCATCGTTTTTTTTTTTTAGTTTAATAATAAGAATTAGAAAAAATGAAGAGTAAGTTGAACCAAGATTAAAGTTAATCTTAATTGCAGTAGAAACAGATATGAGAAAGTTAAAAATATCCTCTAAATGTATTTTACGTCTTCTGCATATTTGGTAATTTTGTTTACATCTTTCTTTTCAGATCTCTGTGATTTCTTTACTTAACATCCGGCTGAGTGCAACGCCTAATTTACCAGCAATCTTGGAAGTTTGTTTACTAGTTTATTTATATCACTGATGACCTAAGAAAATACACCATTTTATGCAAGAAACAATTTATGAAATATCAATATTGAAATGATTGATAGTCGAATTTTGAATGATCTAGTCAAATTTTGAGTGTTATTCATCTAAGTTTTATTGGCCCATCTAAGTAAAACAGAAATTCTAACAAATATTTTGAGCACAATCATAATTATAATGTTGACGTTAATTGGCTTGTATGCGTGCTTTTATTCATTCCGGTTTGCGAGCAGCTCGACCCTGACGGCACCTCCTCTGTCGGCTCTAGTAGTCGCGTTTGAAAGCATATATGATCTATCGTTATTGGCCAATACTTTATCGGATCAAGGGATTGATACAACATTAATAATACCAACACATACTGCTAACGATATTTACAATAAACTGATTGACGTTGAAGTGTTGCAACTGGATGTTAACATTGATAAATCAATGTCTGCTGACGAACATGCACTAGAAGCATGCAACATTTTTTTCAAGGATGAAGAAATACTGAAGAAAGTACAAAAATTTCAGCCTACGTTCATTATATTTCCAGCATTAAGGTATATTGATATTAAAACCAGTTTTATGATTTCATTATAATGTATTTGAAAGAATCAAGCTTTATTAATTTAATAAAACTAATATTTCGTACGTATACTTTTACATATATAATGCATACTTTTGTGATTTTTTTAGACATGATGGCTGCTTACTTCCGTTTGCGAAGCATATTGAATCAATTCCAGTAATCTGGATAAAAAATCCAGATGAGGAACTGTATGCATTTGAATGCACTAGAGTTGCTCTGCCGGTGCATAGTGGTGGCTTTTGGTCGAGACTTTCGACAAGTTTCACAGGGAAAACCATATTTTCTACTGTTAAGAATGATTATTTAACTCCCGCTTTACGATTAACAACCAAATATCTACTGGACATTAATATCGATTTGGAGCATCTTTACTCGGATGTTAGACTAGTACTTTGGGGAGGCGATACAGTGTTACGTTCTGATTTTGCATCTTTAACAGAGTTACTCGTGGAGGTTTGTAAAATGTATATTATATATATATTCTTCATTCTATTTATTCTCTTGTCTTTTAACGTTTTAACATTCTATATATATTTATAAATTTCCAAAACTATAGTTCAATATCGATTTCAAATTGCTTTTAGGTCGGTTGTCATCACTGCAGAGGTGCATATCCCTTACCTGAGAACTTGCAAAAGTCATTGGTCGAATATAGGACGGGTACCATAGTTGCTCTTTTAGAAGAAAATTATGAGATATTGATACAAGAACTGGCAAAGAAATTGCCTCAAGGGAGGGAAGGTCAAGCTCTCGTATGGAAGAGTAAGCGCAATACAAATGTTGCGCCGGAAAATCTTTTTATTGACGAGGATGTTGATCGGCAAGACATCATAGGTAAAATATAAATATAATTATACATTGATAAAAAGATATTTTTGTAACAAATAAATTGCGAAATAAATATAAAAACTATAAACTGTTTTAATACACGTGCGTAAATCAGTAGCCAAATTATAAAGAATACATATACATATTTCATATGTAATATTGATTTTAAAAAATGTAAATTTTCAATTTTAATAAATACAATGTAGGATTCTCATTGAGGGACCTTTATCTCTCTCCTACAACACAATACATTTCATAGTAAATGAAAACAATGAGTTCTAGGGCGTTTACTTGCGCACAAGTGAAATACGTGCCTCGCGAATGCAAACTCTTCAAAGCGCCATTGAATTGAATATAATCGCGCAAGAGAGGATAATACGGTAATAGCATGGAGGCATTCTCTTTCTCTTAATACTGTTGCCTCATTGTTACAGGTTATAGCCGAACCCGAGTGGTGTTGAGTCATTGTACCGATACAGAATTCCTGGAAGCTGCCTTTCACAGGACACCTCTGATATGTCTGCCGAGGGACGCCCACGAGTCTCGTAACGCGGCTCGCGCAGTCGAGTTGGGTTTCGCGCGCTCCATAAAAACCACGAACGATCATTTCGCCTCGGTCATGGAGATCGCACAAATAATAAACGAGATCTATGAGACGGTGGCTTATCGTGAAAATGCACGAAAGGTTTCCGTGGCGATACGCGACAGACTAAACCCACCCTCCGATAGACTCGTCTATTGGTTGGGCTATATCGCAAGGACGAAAGATGACACCGACAAGTTCCATAAGCCAAAGAGTCAGGCGAGGACACTCACGGAAGATATTCAATTCTTCGTTGGCCTTCTGGTAGGTATAATTATCGGGATTGTCTGTACGGGCAGCGCGGTCGTCGCGCGATATCTCGTCACGGCTAACAAAGTGCAAATAGCGAAGGGACGATACATGCAATGAACGTGTTCCATTGAGATTCGACTCAATATACACATGCATGGACATTTCCGAATATATATATATTTATATAAATGTACGTAGAATACAGGTACATACGAATACAAAGGTTTTACGATCTAGGAGTTATCTCATAGTTAACGAAGAAACAACTTTTACTATTACTATTATTATTATTACGAGAACACCTTCTCATAATTTGACTGAAAATACTACGAGTGTAATGAAGTGTGATGTATTATCATGAAGAAAATAAATTACAGTTTGTCAATACTGAGTTCTGTATGTCGTCGGCACGAGCGTATTCCTCGTGTGATTACGTTTAACGCTAAGTTCTTACAATATACGGACGAATCGCGATATCTACGTTGCTTAAG